CTTGGCAATTTTCTGATGAAGCAAAGATATGAACTGGGACGAGCCAGTGTGCCTGCTGTGGCTTTATAGAGCAAGACTGGCTTTGATCTGTGAGGAGATTAGCTTTTCTGCCTTGTTGACTAAGGTGAGCTGCCTTAGAGATTAAGGGGGAACAGGTTTTCAAGGACTGCTTTATCCGCATCTTGCCATCTTAACCAGTATCTTCTGAAGGTTAAAATACACTGGAGAACAGAGTTCGTTTTCACATTACAATTCCTTGTAAATCACTGTGAAATTGATAATATTAATCTGAAGCAATATTCTAAGTGCTAACATTAATTCAAATCTGAGGAAATATAACTGGGAAAGCAAGCCAAGGTTGAATATAATTAGTACTAATTATTAAGACTATTTTTAGCATACCCTCACTAACATTTGGCCAATTGAATTTTTTTCAAAATATCCATTGTATATATAGAGAATATAGTGAAGTCAATCAATATGTAAAAATATAATAATTTTCTTATTTTGGGAAATTAACTATGGCCATGTAGGTCATAAGAGCTCTTCATTGTCCTTATTGTCATGAAACGTTCTTGTACTTTATTGGTACAGAAAAAGTAATTACTAAAAGTAACATTATCTCAAATTTTATAAAGTTAATAAGGCTTGGTACTGGGATGACCTCAACACAAGCATCCTGTAACTAGATTGCTGGAAATATGTCTGTAACTACTACTAACTCAGTTCTATCCTTTGTTTTTCTCAGTGGAAGATACATTCGATCATAAACTAACATTTTCTTCTAACATTGATTGACTCCTTTCAAGACAGTCTCTCCCTCCAATGCTTGTCTGAAAGTCAATGATTCTCTTGACTTAACTCTTGCACGTATTCTATACTGACCTTCATTCCTTCGTATGGGAACACATTTCTGTCTACTTCCTTAAAATTACCACATTTCATCATGTTAATACTATCTTGCTACATAACACTTCCTACATTTTCATATAGGTTACCAAACAAGGTGATTTGCTTCCCTATTTTTTTCACAATCTTCACTATTTCTGTTCTATCATGACAATAACACAATATTCATAGATAGCCAGCCATTAGAAGAAGAATTGAAAAGATGTTATACATTGTAAATAAAAAAGTATACATGGCACAAATTGTCAGATAACCAGACAGATGGACAAATTCACTTCAACATCTTTAATTTAACATACAAAATTCTCAACCCGTGTATGGACATATTTCAACCAGTGAATTACCTGAGTAGTTGCTGAAATTACAAATACCCAGGCCCATTGTTATTTTTCTTGAAAATACATATGAACTGAGAACTAGGAATTTGAATTTTCCAGTTCCACAGAAAGCTACCTGAGAACTTAAAGCTCCAAATCACTACTAGTACAGACACTGAGATGGACAATTAATAAATGGGACCTCCTGAAACTGAGAAGGCAAAGGACACAGTTAACAAAACAGCAGCCCACAGAATGGGAAAAGATCTTCACCATCCCCACTCTGACAGAGGACTGATTTCAAAAATACACAAAGAACTCAAGAAGCTAGTCACCAAAACACCAAAGGATCCAATTAAAAAGTGGTGTACAGAACTAAATAGAGAATTCTCAATAGAGGAATCGTAAATGACTGAGAGACACTTAAAAAGTGCTCAGCATCCTTAGCCATCAGAGAAATGCAACTGAAAATAACTCAGAGATACCATCTTACACCAGCTAGAATGGCTAAAAATAAAAAACACCATTGACAGTCAGTGCTGGAGAGGATGTGGAGAAAGGGAACACTCCTCCATTGCTGGTGGGAGTGCAAACTTATGCAGTGCAGCCACTTTGGAAATCAGTATAGTGGTATCTCAGGAAAATGGGAATCAATCTACCACAAGATCCAGCAATTCTACTCTTAAGCATATACCCAAATGATAGACATTCATACAACAAGGACATCTGTTCAACTATGTTCATAGCAGCATTATTTGTAATAGCCAAAACCTGGAAGCAATCTAGATGCCCCTCAGCTGAAGAGCGGATTGAAAAAATGTGGTATATTTACACAATGGAGTACTAGGTGAAAAAAATCAATGGAATATTAAAATCCACAGGCAAATGGATGCAACTAGAAGAAACCATTCTGAGTGAGAGCCTTCATCCACTAGCTGATGGAAGCAGAAGCAGATACCCACATACAAACCCTGAGCTGAATTCCTGGAATCCAGTTGCAGAAACGAAGGAGTGATGAGCAATGCGTTCAAGACCAGGCTTGAGAAAATCACAGAAACAGCTGATTTGAACAAGGGGGAGTTCATAGACCCTAGACTGATAGCTGGGAAAGCATCATAGGACTGATCCAGACACTGAGAATGTGGGTATCAGTGAGGAGACCAGGGCAATCTATGGGGCATCTGGTAGTTGATCAGTATTCATCCCTAGTAAATACTTTTGGAGCCCATTCCACATAGAGGGATACTCTCTCAGCCTAGACACACTGGGGAGGGTCTCGGCCCTGCTCCAAATGATATGACAGACTTTGAAGATCCACCATGAAAGGCCTCACTCTCCCTGGGGAGCAGAAAGGGATGGACTAGGGGGCTAATGGGGGCCAGGGATGGAGGATAGGGAGAGGGAACTGAACTTGACATGTAAAACAAGCTTGTTTCTAATATAAGTAAAATTTAAAAAAAAATAAGCCTGAGCTTCCTACTGCGTTTTCCATTCTATGCTGTGATCTCTTCCTGACTGGACTTCAACTTTCTCTGTATCAGCCATGTTTAGCAATCCTTCATCATTTGCTCATCCATTTTGCTCTTCCTGAATTCAAGTTCCTTGGATTCTACAGTTTTTCCCTTTGCCATATCATATGCCCAACAGTTTCAGTATATGACTTATTGATTGTATTTCTTCTGTCTGCTTTCTCATTCTGAATACTATTTCATACTGTTTATTTTACTTTTCACCAAATGAATGTAAAGTGGATTTTAAAAGTCTAAAATATCTATGTTTTCCAAAATACTCATGTTTGTGCAGCAGAAATTTGCATATTAGGATAACAGATTTGTTGTGATTGCTAGTTTAGTTACTGCCACCACATATATTACACTAATTTAAATGATGTCGATAGGTTTCTGATACAAAAATCTTGCTTTATATTTATTAGGAAATATAAATATTTTATAGTGATGGAGCATTTAAGTTACTTATGGGAAACAATTAATTACTCATATGTCCATTATTTTTTATTTCTTTTCTATGTGATTGTCTTGTACTGTGTCAATTACTTTCTGTGGAGTGGCAGTTGCACCAGAAAATACATTATCATTGTTATACAATAAGGTTGGTATCATTCAATAAATTCCTTTGAAAAATTTCAGTTCATTCTTTATGAAATTATAATGTAATTCCAAAATTTCTCCTTTCCCTTTCTTCTTTCAAATCTTCCTATGTTTTCCTCCCTCTTCACTCTCTTTCAAATTCATGATTTATTTCGTTCTTCATCAACTTCTCCTCTGTGTGTGCGTATGTTCGTGTGTTCGTGTGGGTATGTATTCCTAAGGAGAATGTACTCAAATCAGTATAACATTTCCGCTCTGTGTTTTCTTAGTACTGACCATTTTTGCTAATGAATGACTAATTGATGTATTCTTGCTAGTGAGGGGTAGTCCCCCTTTTCTTAATTCCTTAGTTGTCAGTAGTTTTTTCTTTTACAGAGGGTGCAGGATTCCTGAACTTTCTCCCATCTGCTTCAGCATGGCTACTGATGTTGGCCATGATCAGCTTATGTTTAAGCAGCCATATGGGTGGAACTGTATGTGTGAGCTTCTGACATGGCTAGGAGACACAATCTCACAGAAAACCCTCATTTTATGTCTCTTTCAATCATTCTGCCCCCTCTTATGAATTGTTCCCTGAGCCTCAGTTACAAGGGTGTTTTTCAGATTGTACATGGATCCATTGGGTTGGCCTCTATGACTCTGCACTTTGTTTGGCTGTTGTTTTCTGTAGCGGTATTCATTTCTTGCACTGGTAGAGAGATTGATAAACTCTTTAAAAAACAAAGTGTGTGTGTGTGTGTGTGTGTGTGTGTGTGTGTGTGTGTGTGTGTGTTGGAACATTAGAGGAAACTTTGGGAGGGGTGACATCTCATACCCTACTATTTGAATTCAGTTATCAAACTCATTGCCAGGCTTGGCAGCAGCACCTTTCCCAACTTGACCTTTTGCTACCTCAATTATTCCTATCACATACTTTAGATGTTTTTGTTAGCTGAGAAAATAACTTCAAATATTGATAGTTAACTATGAACCTTCATAATATTTATGGAGTCCATTTTCTAGTGTTTCACATAAAGTTTCTAGAGCAATACTTCTAAGATTATGCATATTCACATGTCTTTTTTGATCAGTATCACCACAAGCATTAAATGCTCTTTACTCCCTTTATAGAAACAGAATACAATAGTTTGATGACATTTTAGTTGTTGTCATTTGGTGCAATAAATCACCCTTAATTTTTAAGTTGACATGAGAAGGACATGTCAGAGAAGTCTAGTGAGAGATAAAAACTAAGACGTATATTCATAGTATATTTTGTGTCAAATGTTCCTACCGTAGCAACAGATATTCCTGACAGAGGATCCAAAAATTCAAATACAAAGAAAATTTTAATGTAACTCCATCTTAGAGTAACAACACAAAAAGTACTTGGTAAACTTATAGCAATGTTGGGAAAAAAAGAAATGATACTAGGAGGAAATAGTATAATGAAATAAAGATTTGGGTATGATGGAGAATTGAAAGTTTCCAATAATAATGGATAATCTCCCTAGAGAATGTACATGCTAAGTATGAGGAGAATAGTTGATTTAATACCAGAAAGTGTGTGAAAACTATGCAACTTTGCTTTTAATCACCAGAAATTACTATTCATATTCCTGCCAAAGTTTGGTAGATTGAAATATTGATGGGTGATGTTAAACAACATTATTTTTTGTTTGCTTACCTTCTTTAAGGACAGTATCCCTTCCCTGGTGTCTTTGTCAGTTGAGATAGAGAATATTCCAATCCCGTCTCCATTAGTGATGGAATAAGTCATATCTGCATTTGAGCCTGTGTCTGCATCATTTGCCTTAATTTTCCCAACAGCTGAACCAACTTGAGCAGACTCAGGAACATACAGTTGATAGTGTTCTGGAAAAGATTTCATATTAAAGTTACTTACAATAATTTTTATAGGGTAAGTATCTCTAAAGAAAATAATGACAAGTATCTCATCTACATTATCAAATGAACACTATATAGAATAAACTCAATGGATTTCTCTTAAATTTTTAAAGTTTTCTATTAGGTAGTTACAAATATGTCAGCATATATAAAATAACTTGAATACTAGAATATTTAATATTTTCTTACTTCCATAAAATTAAGCATAAAAATAACAGGAAATTCATCCATACACATGAATTTTTCAATCATAAGTTTAACCCCAATTTATTGTTCTCTTCCCGTTAGTGTGAAGATCAACTATGTATCAATATAAATATTTGTATATATATGAAAGAATATATATATATATGCATATGAGAGAGAGAGAGAAAGTACAATTGAAGTTTAACAGGTAAAGGAGAAAAATCATACCAGAAGATATAGGCTACAGTTTTATGAATAATTTACATACTAAAATATGTAAACAATACCAAAGAAAAATATGAACATATTTAGAAATATATCAAATATTTCCAATTATATCTTTAAAAGATTTGATGGCACTCTGTAATGGTGAAAGGAAAATTCTCTTTTCATTACTAAAACAAAAGCCAGTGGACCAGTTGAAGAATGAAAGTCTACACACATAGTGATGAAGTAGCTGTGCAGTTGCTTCAATTTTGTTTGTGTTTATCCAATGTTCCAAGCATACACTGTAAGTATCATTGTTCCAGATGTGGAAACAAAAGCAAACCGATGTTTTACTTGTATAAAATATTGAGGCGGTGTTCCTATAGCGATTTAAATTAAATTTAAGTAATAAAATGAATAATGATAACCAAACAATATATCCTTTATTAAATATAAAGGTTGAAAGGGAGATACTCTGAATGGCTAACAAGAGCTTCATCTAGGATTCATGGGTAATAAAATAAAATTGGCTTTACTTTTCCAAGGGGGAGGGAGGGGATACCTTGTCATGACTTGTGGATCAGGGAGGACATAGACGCTGACAAAACAGCTGAGGTTCTTACCACTTCTATTGGTTGCCCACCACAACATAGACAAATGCTGTTAAAGACACATGCTGGTAGTGTCACAGAGAAAAATGAAAGTGGAATTCAGCAACACATTTCTTCCTCACAGTCCAGGTTTCATAGAATTTGAAGACATCATGCAGTGTGCTGAAGAAGAAAAGGCATCAACCATACTACTCATTGGCAAATCCCGCTAAGTAGAATATTAACCAGCTGTACAAGACATGCCCCCTTGTAAAACAGGAGTTTGCCTGTTATGGAAGGAGCTGATTCTTCCCTAAATCTGAGTCTCCATAGGACAACATACACACCTGGTACTGTAAACTCTTTAAAAAGCCTACCTACGACATGGAGGACACCTGGAGGGAGGAGCTTAATTCTGCTATTTCTCCAAACTGACACATTGTCTAATCACATTTTAAATGTATAAATACAGCCACAGGCAAATACTACTCTCAACATTAACAAGAGAAACCTCACTTTGCAGTGAAATATAGTGCCCGGAAAGGCTTATGGTTGTACTCACTCAGTGTTGACAAAGAGTAAGCTAAGTGTTCATTCCTAAAAAGACAATTATACCATGCCCTCCTAAACACAGTGAGATTATGGCAGAGGGAACTCAGACAAATTAGGAGTCAGAAGATAGGGGAAAGGCTGTGAAATAACCATCTTAAGGCAGCACACAGCTATTTCAATCAGACATAGACTTCTATCATCTTCAAATGCCAGTAAGGGTTTGGATAAGACTGGTTATCAAAAATCAGAAATGGAGACATGAGATTGTTAGAGAGGTCTAGCTATAACTGAGAAACTATTTCTCGATGGTAGATTCAAGGGAGGGAAAATTGCATTCATATTTGTTCACCCAATGGTAACCCTATCTGGCTCCAATAGATAATTATAATACAATGGTCAGTCAGACCCTTGACACCAGTAAAACTAAATGGGGTATACATAAAAAATAATGAAGGGTTGTTAGGACTGAAAACAAGATATGAGACAGAAGGTGAAAACAATAACCAGAAAGCATGAAACAAATGTATAAAAATTACAAAGAATTAAATCAATACAAGTAAATAAATAATTATAGTTAAAATAGACACTTTGAATATCTCTTTTTTAGTTTTCAGTCATTAATATACTTATAATTTTAATTATGCTAAATAATATGCTATGAATAAAATATATATTACTAATGCCAACTGCTCATAATGTAAATCATAAAATAAAACAAAGCTCTCAGGATAAAAGGTAGTGAAATAATGAAAACAGTACTCTAAATTATCTTTCAAAGAAAAATTTTGACTTTAAGAGAAAAAAATTAGATGCTTTCATAATACATTTAATCACACTAACAAGATGAGAGAAAGAAAATCTAAATACAAAAATTGGAGATGACAATGAAGGAGCTTGAAATAGCTGCCAGTGGGATTCAGAGAAACATTAGTATTTCAGACTGTGCTCTAAAAAATTAAAAATTTATAAAAAGAAGTACTAGATATATTTCTAGACACATGTGACCTACCAAAAGCATCACCACTATCAATGTCACCACCTCTACCACTAATACACCTGTAACAAGTGATGAGGTTGAAGAACTAACTAGAAAGTTTGTCAGCTAAAAATACTCAAACCCATATTTTCTAGTGGGTTCATTGGTGATTTCCAGAAGAACTTATAGAAAAACTGAAATTACTGTTTTACACCTTATTGTATTTTATTGGAAAGGAAGAAAGACTACTAAGCTCCATTTAAAAAGTCAGCATTATTTTGGTACAAAACCAAATAAAGACATGAGTACAATGACAACAACAAAAGTATAGATCATTTTAGCTGATGATCATAGACTCAAAACTTTCAGTAAAATGCTTGCAACCAAATTCTTATGAGCACACCAAAATATATTCACAGGATCAAATTGGTTTCATTACAGAGATGCAAGAGTATATCAATATATGACAACTGATAGCTTTAATACATCACCAAAGTGGACTCAAGAACATTAGTGCATATGGTAAAATAGCAGATGCAAAAACTCCTAGTATTCAGGCATCTGTACTGGCCTGTCTATGGGGTTCTGACAGGATATGCCCTCAGCTACAGCCACTAAAGGAGCACATTCACTATGTTCCCTTTAAAAAGGCCCTGCTCTGTCTCTGTCTCTGTCTCTGTCTCTCTCTCTCTGCCTCTGTCTCTCTCTGTCTCTCTCTCTCTATCTCTCTCTGTCTGTCTGTCTGTCTGTCTCTTTGCTCCTCTACCCTCTCTCCTGCTGCTCCTATCCCTGGAGGCCAGTCTCTCCTCTTCTTGACTTTTAAAATTTAAATTAAAAACAATTTTATTTTACATAACAATCCCCCCACCATCTCTCCATCCCACTCCCCATCCCACATCCCACTTCCCCATCCACTCCTCAGAGAATGTGAGGCCTCCAGGGGGGGATCATCAAAGTCTGTCACATATTTTGGGGCAGGACCCAGGCCCTCCCTCTCTTTATCTGAGGTGAAAGAGTATCCCTCCATGGGTGATGGTCTCCAAAAAGTCCCTTCATACACTGCCTGTAGACCCCATAAACTGACCAAGCTCCTCCCTTTATGATCTCTTTCCATAATATTAAAAAAAAAACCTCTGCTTGAAACCTGTTGCATGGCATCTTCCTCTCACATGCTGCCCCTCTCAAATTACTACAAAAAGTTTTGAGACAAATGAAACATCTAATAATGAAGCTTGAAAAAGAAACAAAAAAAATGAGCTATCTCATTGTAATGTATACAATACCCAATATTGCACTAAAAGGGCAAGACTCAAACCATACCATTAATACTAGAGCAGGAGACTAAGATATCTTGTTTGTTGTCTTATTGAATGCAGCACTTGAAAATACACAAGACATTCAGACAAAAGAAATATTAAATACATAAAAGAGGAAATTGAAGTACCATTATTGATTGGAGTTATATTCCTACATAAAAAAGATCTACATATGACATCAGAAAATTCTTCTTGGCGACCACTGCTCTTGACCAAGTTACAGTATTTCAGCATTGCAGACCATACTTCTCCATCACGTTTTTCCTTTTATTCTTAATGATTCTCACTATTAATAACTTTCTCCTTTCTCTTTGGGAAATTATGTGTGGACTTTGCTAAGGAATGCAAAGGAGCACAATGGTAGCTCCCTAAACAAAATAATTCCACAGGAAAAAAATGCTTGCCAACAAGAAGCCAGTAATTCCATTGTGCTCTCCTAATTACACCCGGAACAGGAATGTTAGAGATTTACTAGACACATCTGATAGCAAGGATGTAATGCCTACAATGCAGATGTAGAGCCTGAGCCCATTAAAGACAAGAGTTAAGTTCAGTCAACAAATCCAAAGAAATCAGAATGATACGGTATCATGGGAAATAATTAGATATTAAGACCTTCCCTTTTGGGTGAGTTAAGAGGGGACAGATCCATATAATAAAATTAAAGAAACAACATTGTAATTAAGTGTCTGCTCCCAGAAGTCCTATTCCCAAGACCAGGCATTTAGATAAGGGTCTCCATTCTCTTGGGTTCTTGAGGAAAGTCCCTGACTGATAAAGCAATCATTCTTATCTCTAGAAAGAGCAACTTGTGGTCTTTCCACCAACATAGGACTGGTGCCTATTTCAAGGTCAAAAATAGAGATTCCTCAACTCCTGATCTCAAGCCACACCCTCTCTCACAAGCCACACCCTCTCCTATTTAATCAAAGATTAAACAGTGCTGGCAACCAATCTGATTCACCATCAATTACTTCTACTGCTTCCCTCCCCATAAACTTCTCTCATCCTCTTTGGCATCTAAACTCTGATGTTGACCACTTCCAGCAATATGTCAGATTATAAACAGCATTACTGTATGCTAACAATGAACATTTCAAGAAAAGTTAAAGGAAAACATCTAATTCATAGAATCCTTAA